GTGCTAAGCACTGGAATAGGGGCTGGCACTCAGGCCACGAGTACTTGAACTAATGAGCATGTGAAATTGCCAACACAGGGCATGTTCCTGTATTCAGGGGGCACACCTGGGTGTGGGTCATGGGGTTCCCAAACCACTCCTCCTGTTCCTTTTCCAAACTCCTTGAAAGTCAGGTCCCAGTGCCTGGGTCCCCATGGGCGGAGCAGGGGGCGGCCTCCTCCTGGGAAATTGGATCCCAAGACGTGCAGAGCAGCAGGGAGCAGGGCTGCCCCTTTGTCCCCCATAATCCTCTCCCCGCCCTTGCCCCCCCTTACAACCACCAGGGTTTAAGGTCAAGTTTGGGGGCTGTAGGGGTCTAGGTTGTCACCTTAGTGTCCTCTTCTCTGGCTATCCCTTGCCCTGGGGCTTCTGGTTGGCCTGGAATATATGCTCTCATCTTGGTCTCTCTCAAAACTCCCCATCCTGTTCCCTGGCTGGGTCTCATTCTCTGCCAGGGCCCTGTCTGCTGCCTGCCCTCCTTTCCTAGGGAGTAGCTCCCCTCCCTCCTGGGCGGCTCCAGGGCTCAGTCCCAGGTATAAAGCTACCCAAGGGACAGAAGGACAGGTGCCCTGGAAAGACCCAGAGACTGCAGAGGAAGGAGCCAAGGAGGGAGCATGTACTGCCTGCTGGGTGAGTGAGGGTACAAGGCACCAGGGCCCAGAAACCAGGATGGAAGGAGACTCTGCAAGCTACCTGCTGCTGCTCAGTCTCAGGGTCCCGTGCAGCTACTGGGAACTTGCACATCCTATACACTGAAGGATTTACTCACCATCCATCCAAGGAGTATTTGTTGAAGCCCCACTATGTGCTGGTACAGTTGTCTCTTGGTATCCACTGAACACTGATTCCAGGACTTCCTCAGTGAAGACCAAACTCCAGTGATGCTTCAGTCTCTTACATAAAATGTGATATTTGCATATAACCTATGCACATCTTTCTGTATACTTTATATGCCCTTCTAGATTATTATAACAGTTGACAAAATGACAATACTGTCTAAGTAGTTGGTATGTTGTATTGTTTAGGAAACAAGGTAAGGGGAAAAATCTTTGTATGCCCAATACAAATGTAATTTTCCACCTGTAGTTGCATGAACACATGGGCGCAGATAGAGAAGGCTAATTATATTGTTGAGAGATTTGGGATAGACGGAAGAAAACTGACAACAATCTACAGAGTGATGGTGATTACCTTGTCAGATTTGTGTTGCAAGCAACAAGAGCAGATGGTGATACATGCCTGTAACCCAGCACTTGGGAGGTTGAGGCTGGAGGATGCTGAGTTTGAGGCTAGCTTGTAGTACATAGCAAATTCCATCCTAGGCCACATAACAAGACCCTGGTTACATAACAGTAAATTATAATGGCACATGAGAAGAGAGGAGCTCATTCAAACTTGTTGAATGAATGACTAAAGTGTCTCTACTATTAGGCTTCTTTCTTGTTTATTTTTTTATTTTTTTTTGAGACAAGATCTCACTGTGTAACAGCCCTGGCTATCCTGGAACTCACTCTGTAGACCAGGCTGGCCTCGAACTCACCGAGATCTGCCTGCCTCTGCCTCCTGAGGACTGTACCACCACTCGACTTGCCTTTTTTAAATGAGAGGTTTCACTCACTGTGTAGACCAGACTGATCTAGAGCTCAGAGATCTGTCCCCTCTGCTTCCTGAGTGCTGGCGTTAAAAGTATACACCACACCCTGCTTACCTTCCGTTCTCTCCTAACTGGTTCTGAATTTGGGATGTAAAGGAACTAAGGGGACCATCTGCACTTGCCTTCCTCCTACCCAGGTGGGTGAGCCTCACACTTGCTGGGGGCACAAGCTGCATCTGGGATTTGAGAGGACAATCTGTCAGCAAGTACTCAAATGGAAAACAGTCAGCACAGATGCTTATGAAGTAGGCGGGTGGCAAGAAATCTCAGGGACAGACAGCCTCAGCATTTATTTAGTGAGACCCTAACTGAATAACAAACCATGAAGAGCTTGCTAGGGCCTGGGCTGCCAAGCTCAGTTGGGAGAATACTTGCATTGCATGCCAGTAGCTTTGGGGTTATCTCCAACACCACATAAACTAGGCGTAGTGCTGCCAGACTGGAGACCCTGTCTCAAAACAAGCAGACAAAAACAAACAAAAAAACAAGACTGGAACAGAGATATATGCACATTCATATTGCAGGACTGGTCACAATAGCCAAACCTGGAACCAGTTTAGGTGTCCATCGATAGATGGATGAATGGCAAAAAGAAAATATGATAGTTACACACAATGAAATTTTATTCAGCTTGGCTGGGTGTTGGTGGCGCACGCCTTTAATCCCAGCACTCGGGAGGCAGAGGCAGGCAGATCTCTGTGAGTTCGAGGCCAGCCTGGTCTACAGTGCAAGTTCCAGGACAGCCTCTAAAACAATTCAGAGACACCCTGTCTTGGAAAAAAACAAAACAAAACAAAAAGAAATTTAAAAAAAGAAATTTTATTCAGCTGTAGAAAAATGAAACTACAACATTTTCAAGAAAAACGAAGGGAACTGAGATCACGATGGTAAGAAAAATAAGCCACATTCAGACAAGCATTGTATGTTTTCTCTCACGCAGAATCTGTTTAAGTTTATATGTACAGAGCATGAATGTAGAAAGGGGACTATGACAGGAGAAAACATGGCTAAAGAGGGAACAGGAGACAGCAATGGAATGCATGTCACATGAAAACAGAAGGGGCTTCTTTGGGGGAAGAAACCTTTAAAAGGAGAAGACAGGAGAGGGTGACTAAGAATAAAGTGTGTGTGTGTGTGTGTGTGTGTGTGTGTGTTACAATGAAACACTTTTCTTTGTCTGCTAGCCAAGATATTAAATAAATAAATACTGATTATATAGCTCAAAGGAGGGAGAAAGAGCCTGGAAATAAGGCTGTTTATTGTTACATTCACTCAACAAATGTTTATTTTATGGAGGCAGCAATGAACCAGGTAAGGGTTCTCTTTCCTGGGACAGCATTAGGGAAAGATAGCAACAAGCTGGTAAATAAATAAGTAATTGTAGACAACAGGTCTCTAAGGACAATAAACCAGGAGAGAGACATTGTCTTCTAACACTGTGCTTATTACTGTTGCGTGAGTCGTGTGTGATTTGTGCAGATATGAAAAGACCTCGGGGAGGCTTTCAGGACTTGGTTCTCTCCTTCCCACTATGGATTCTGCGGATCAAAACTCAGCTTGTCAGCCTCGAGTGGAAGGTGCTTTTACCCACTGAGCCAGACTTTTGATGCGAGGCCAGGATTTGCTGAGCGGAGGCCTAAAGAACAGGAAGGAAACAGCCTTGGAAATGTTTGGGGGTTCCTGTGGGGCACAGCAAGGGTGAGGTCCTGAGGGAGGAATGTGGGCAGAACATAGAGAGAAGACAGTGAGCGAACAGAAAATTGCAGCCCACCTGGGAACTTCTGGTTACCCTGAATGAGGCAGCCATGGTGACGTTTGAACAGCAGAGGGACATACTCAGATAGGAGGACTGTATAAGACGTCTACCAGGTGGGAACAGAAACCAGAGGAGAGGGAGGTGACAGGGCTTAACCAGAAGTGCTACAAGTGGTAAGGAGAGAAGTGATTAGGCTCCGGGTGCATCTTTTGACTCTTTTCAAAGTTTGTTGTTGCCGTTGTTTTTAATTTTATTGTTTTTAATGCCTGGGGAGGCCGAAAGAAAGCACTGGATCCCCTGGAACTGGAGTTACAGAAAGTTGTGAGCCACCATGCGGGTGCTAGGAATTGAACCTGTGTCCTATGGAAGAGTAGTGAGTGCTCTAAACCGATGTGCCATCTCTCTGGACTCCTTCAATTTTTTTTTTTTTTTTTTTTTTTTTTGGTTTTTCGAGACAGGGTTTCTCTGTGGCTTTGGAGGCTGTCCTGGAACTCGCTCGGTAGTCCAGGCTGGTCTCGAACTCACAGAGATCCGCCTGCCTCTGCCTCCCGAGTGCTGGGATTAAAGGCGTGCGCTACCAACGCCCGGCTCCTTCAATTTTTTTTAAAAGATTTATTTATTTATTATGAATACAACATCCTGCCTCCATGCATGTCTGCAATACCAGAAGAGGGCGCCAGATCTCATTACAGATGGTTGTGAGCCACCATGTGGTTGCTGGGAATTGAACTCAGGACCTCTAGAAGAACAGTCAGTGCTCTTAACCTCTGAGCCATCTCTCCAGCCCGTCCTTCAATTTTTTTAATTGAAAGTAACATAGCAGGTCAGTGGTGGCACACGCCTTTAATCCCAGCACTCGGGAGGCAGAGGCAGGCAGATCTCTGTGAGTTTGAGACCAGCCTGGTCTACAGAGCAAGTTCTAGAACAGCCTCTAAAGACACAGAGAAACTCTGCCTCGAAAAATCAAAAATGAGAAAGTAACAAATATACTGAAAGGTACACATTATACTTGTGGGTGGCCTAGTACAGCTGGATGGGTTTTCTTTTTTTTTTTTTTTTTTTTGGTTTTTTTTTTTTGGTTTTTTTTTTTTTTTTGGTTTTTTCGAGACAGGGTTTCTCTGTGGCTTTGGAGGCTGTCCTGGAACTAGCTCTATAGACCAGGCTGGCCTCGAACTCACAGAGATCCGCCTGTCTCTGCCTCCCAAGTGCTGGGATTAAAGGCATGCGACACCAACACCCGGCTTTGGATGGGTTTTCATAAAGGGAACATTTTTTTTTTTTTTTTTTTGGTGTTTCGAGACAGGGTTTCTCTGTGGCTTTGGAGGCTGTCCTGGAACTAGCTCTTGTAGACCAGGCTGGCCTCAAACTCACAGAGATCCGCCTGCCTCTGCCTCCCAAGTGCTGGGATTAAAGGCGTGCGCCACCAACGCCCGGCTAAAGGGAACATTTCTAATGAGTATTCAAACAAAAAGCACTTCCAGAATTGCATAAAGTGGTGCATGCCTGTAATCCCAGGACTCAGGAGGCAGAGGCAGGTAGATCTCTGTGAGCTTGAAGCCAGCCTAGTCTACACAGTAAGCTCCAGGACAGTCAGGCCTACACAGTGAGATCTTGTCTCAAAGGGGGGTTTCTGGGCATGAAACAGTCTGCCAAGCAGGTAATTTTGCTCTGACTTGAATAGACATCACAGGCTACAAAGGCCATCATCTTCGAAGGCACTGTTGGAATGAATGAATGATGAGAGGGCCAAGGACTTAATGCTGACCCTCTTCCGTCCTGTACCAGCTCCCCTCTGCCTCCTGAGCCTGCTGCCACCCCTCAGTCTCTCGGCCCCTATCTCCCCATCGGAGCCCATCAGTCAAGCCTATAGCCTGGCTCTCTACATGCAGAAGAACACATCAACACTGCTGCAGACCTACGTGAGTGACACTGGGCAAATGCAGGGTTCTGGGGGAGGAGGTGTTGGCTTGGACAGGGCAAGCACAGCAGGTCCAGGAGACCCCTCTGTGAGCCTGAGGGTGCAGAGGCTCTTAGCCAGAGACACATTCATATATGTTGTCACTTTAGGCAATCATTCTCCTGGAACCACCTCATGCCCTGTACTTACAAAATCCACCCCTAGTCTATGTTGGGGGCTCGATCCCATTGGCTCATGGGCCCTCCATACTTTTCTGAGAGGTGGAACTAGAATCTATTTCACAGGTGAGAAAATGGAGCTGTAGAGAGGTAGGTAATTTGCCTTCAGGCACCGAGCTCTTGAGGGCAATGCCAGCGTCCGGAGCCGGGTGTGGGGGACTCCACTGTAGAACCTCCCACCCACACTTACCTAGAGCTGCCAGCTTGCTTCCGGGGTCTTAGACGCTTGTTTGCTTGACCCATCCTCAGAAGCAGGGACAGGGATCTCCATAGCAGGGCACAAGCTTGACCTGTCTTAGCCCTGCCTCTTCCTGCATCACGTAACTGCCTGGTCCTGAGACCCTCTCTTCCACTGCAACTGTTCCGCACACCAGTGTGATTACAAAACCTAGGCTCTAGGTTGGGGGTGATGGATCCCACCTTTAATACCAGCAACAAGGGGAAAGAGGAAAGCAGGTCTCTGTGAGTTTGAGGCCAGCCTACAGAGAGATAGACAGTGAGATCCTGTTTAAAAAAATAGAGAACCATCAGCTGTTACATTTTAATAATGTACTCAGAATGAACAGTCATACAGCTCACTGACATTCATGTTAGTAGATAGTGGCTCTCACCTTGCATGTCAGATGCTGTGTTTGTTTTTATGTCTATTATTTCCTATCATTGTACAACATTGCCATGTAAAGATATGGGTTTTTTGGGGGGAGGTTGAGACAGGGTTTCTCTATTGTTTTGGAGACTGTCCTGGAACTAGCTCTGTAGACCAGGCTGGCCTCGAACTCACAGAGATCCGCCTGCCTCTGCCTCCCGAGTGCTGGGATTAAAGGCGTGCGCCACCAACGCCTGGCAAGATATGGGTTTTTGTTGTTGTTGTTTTTGGTTTTTTGAGGCAGGGTTTCTCTGAGTCTTTGGAGGCTGTCCTGGAACTCGCTGTTGTAGACCAGGCTGGTCTCAAACTCACAGAGATCTGCCTGCCTCTGCCTCCTGAGTGCTGGGACTGAAGCTATGGATTCTTTTGGTTCAGTGAGGCACAGCTGACACCCAGAGGACAAATGAGCCCGTAGCTCACTTGCTTTTCCCTGCAGCTTGCGAAGGGTGCCGAATGGGGGCTTCCTCTGGGAAAGTGCCAGTCTCAGAGGCACCAGAAACCCCTTCAGCCACTTTACGTCTATTTGTCTGTCACCTGTGCAGCTCCGGTACCAGGGTAGCCCCTTCAGTGACCCTGGCTTTGCAGCACCTGAACTTCAGCTCAGCAGCCTGCCTCCTGCTGCAGTCTCCTTCAAGACCTGGCATGCAATGGACGATGCAGAGAGGCTGAGGCGAGCCCAGGGAGCCTTCCTGGCCTTGACCCAGCACCTCCAGCTCGTGGGCGATGACCAGAGTGATCTGAATCCTGACAGTCCCGTTCTGCAGGCCCAGATAGGAGCGGCAAGACTCAGGGCCCAAGGCCTATTGGGCAACATGGCTGCTATTATGACTGCTCTGGGGCTGCCCATACCCCCTGAAGAGGACACTCTGGGCCTTGTCCCTTTTGGGGCCTCAGCCTTCGAGAGGAAATGTCGAGGCTACATAGTGACCCGGGAATATGGTCATTGGACGGACCGGGCTGTGAGGGACTTGGCTCTACTCAAGGCCAAGTACCCGGCGTAGAAGTTTCCCTCAGAGGACTCATTCCTGCCTTCCTTCTGAGATGCAGATTACATCACATCTCACTTAGCAGTCAAGCATTTGGGACTACTTCCTGGAAGCTAAGCTTCCTGCCCATCCTAGAGACTCCCTTACAGACCTGGGCAGGACTCGGGGATCCAACAAAGCCAGTGGTGTGTTGATATTCCTACTTCCTGGCTAGAAAGCAGAGTCCTTCTGAAGAGGCTTCAGTTCCCACCCCAGGGAGAGGACAGCTGGTCTCCCTCCTGGGCTTACCTTTTCTTTCCTCTCCCTGTATTTGAGGAAGTCCAGGGTTGCTTCCTGTCATTGTCTACCTCAATTCCTAGGTAAAGACATGGACTTTCTGAACACAGGCCTCTAATTGCTGGGGTTCTCCTTAGTCTACCTCTCCATTGATGGTTTCAGTTGAACTCCCCAGCGGACAGAAGCCCAACGATCACAGCCACTAGGACTCATGTCTCATCTATTTCCTGCCAAGGGTATGAGGATATCCACTTTGTGTTTAGGACCGACAAGTGGCACCCTGGCCTGGGCCCTTCATGAGTTTATTTGTACTGTGCCTTTGTGGGTCAGCAGGGTATGTGGGAGACCTTCTGTACCCCAAAGATCCTATTCTCCTTAAATCTCCCCATCGGGAACAGCTGTTTCATTACACTGTGCTTTGTTGTTAAACATTTATTTACAAAATTAATTTATTCTCAAATAAAACTCTCTTAAGATGTTTTTCTGCCTTTCCCTCTCCAGACTAGAGCTGGGGGCCGCTGGGAACAGGGTAGGGAGGTAAGAAAGGAAGGACATTGAAGGGGGAAGGATTGGGCACCAAAGGATCGGGCAGGAGAGAGTACACCAGGGAGATGGTCCTGACGATGGCTACCAGAGGACCAGCAGGCACTTCTCTGGTCAGGAAGGGACAAAGGGACTGAAGGAAGAGAAAGTGTCACCTCCACACTCATATGGACCATGAGGAGACAGATGGGGAAACTGGGAGTCAGAGGCAGGTGGATCTCTGTGAGTTCTAGGCCAGCCTTTCCTACACAGCAAACTCCAGGCCACCCAGGGCTACCGAGTGAGACCCTGTCTCGCAGACAAACAAAGAATAAGAGACAAGGAACAAGACGCAGAAACCTACCGGAGACAAAAGAATTAAAGACAGGAGAGAAAGAGAAAAAACGAGAAACTCTAGTCAAGTGAAGCTCCCTGGGGAGACAAGATCCGAAGAGAATGTGACCACACTGCAGGAAGACGGGACAGTCCAAGAACACACTGACACAGATGGAGAGACAGGATTGGAAGCCAAAGAGGTGGGACAGAGTAGAGTGAGCTTGCAAGAGCCAGTACTGAGTACCGACTCTCAGGCGACGTCCCCAGGCACCAGCTGGCTCAGGTCGCCCTCTGTGCGGTTCACCCACTCGCCGTAGAGGCCGCACACATGGAGCCCCAGCACCTTGGCTGAGAAGATGCCCGCGGCGTTGTTGGCGGTGGAAAGGGCGGTGGTGGCGGCGGGCTCCGGGCCGGGCCCGCGGGCTGCCGAGCCCAGAGCGGCCAGCACCGTCTCCACCGCGACTCCCAGGGCCCGAGCCTGGCGGGCCGCGTCCTCCAGGTTCCGCAGCAGGCGCGGGGAGCTCGGGTTCAGCTCCGCTTGGCGGCGGCGCACAGCATCCAGCAGCCCGGGGAGCGCGTCCAATGCGGCCGCGTCCTGGCGCAAACGCTCGGACAGCGGTAGCCCCATGTGGCTCGGGGACGGGCCACTCAGGCCGGCTAGTGACAGTCGCGGTGGTGAGAAGCCCGGCAGCCCAAAGGGATCTCCCTGCTGCTGCACCTGTGGAGATATGGCCACAGGTCAGCCGGACTCCTAGGACCTTAATGGAGGCTGTCCCCTCCTAACAGCCCTCCTCCCTTCTCCCGGGGCCTTAGTTTCCTCATCTTGCAAATGGCAGATCCTATTGTGTTTGAGACTAAACCAAAAAATTACACGGGGTTTACAGACCACTGTCTCTGTTTCTCTAACAGCTAACACGAGTATTAGTTTCATAGGGTAGTTAGGAGTATGGAGGGTCCGATGGACAAGTGGTAGAACACAGAAAGTTATTTTTAAATTACTTTGGGTTTTTTTTGTTGTTGTTTTTTTTCGAGACAGGGTTTCTCTGTGGCTTTGGAGGCTGTCCTGGTACTCACTCTGTAGACCAGGCTGGCCTCGAACTCAGAGATCCGCCTGCCTCTGCCTCCCGAGTGCTGGGATTAAAGGCGTGGGCCACCAACGCCCGGCGGGGGGGGGGGTGGTTTATTTTTGAGACGGGTCTTATTATGTAGTATCCTGGAACTCACTCTGTCCACCAGGCTGGCCTCCAACTCGTCAAGATCTGCCTGCCTCTATTTCTTGAGTGCTGGGATTAAAGGCGTGTGCCACCACACCCGGCTTTACTTGTTTGAGACAGGGTTTTTCACTATAGCTTTTGCTGGCCTGACACTCACTATTTAGACCAGGCTGGCCTCAAACTCACAGAAATCTGCCTGCCCCTGGTGTATGCCCTACTATTTTTTAAAGTGTGTGTGTCTGGTGTGCCGGGAGGATGGTGCTACCTTGCACATGTGACAGTCAAGGACAACTTTATAGAGCTGGTTTTCTCCCACCTTTATGTTGGTTCTGCAGATCAAACCCTGGTCACCACGTTGCCCGGGACGCTCCTTTACCAGTCAAGCCACATCTTCAGTCCCAGAGCCAGTTACTCCCGTCTGCCACTTACTAGCTGTGGCTTCTGGCAAGATCCTTCCCTTCTTTTGACCTCAGCCTACTCATGTGTGAAAGTAAGGAATGCTCCCTGTTCTGTCTTCCTATCAGAGGTCACAGAAACAGTGCAGGGACCCTGTCAGGTTCACCTCCTCCCCTTCTTGATAAACACCATATGAAAGAATGCACGAAAGACAAAGGTGACTCATAATTTGTCAGATGCTCTAACAATAATATGCATCCTTCGCAAATACCTTGCCTTTGGTGCAGGCCTTGTGGTTGCTACTTTGAATGGGGATGATAATGGTGAGGATGGTTTGAAGATGAAATTGTGGCCCATTGTGATGGCTGCCAGCCCGACAACCTGAGTTTGACCCCAGGATCCACATGGTAAAAGAGAGAACCATGTCCCCCAGCTGCCCTCTGACTCTCAGACACACACCATGGCACTTCTGTGCCCACTCACTCAAGCACACAAAATACATGAATACGATTTTTAAAAATGGGCTGAATACAAAGATTGGCAGTAGGTTACCCACCCGGGAAGCAAACGAGCTGGAATTTGGACCAAAGTTGTTATATCTACAAAGCTGGCTGTATATCCTACTGCCACTGTTATCACTGTTATATTCCTTTTAAGTATCACCATTACATCCCAAGGTCATAGGTTAGCAACCCTGCAGTCTGTCTGAATCAAAACACCAGCCTTTCACCACTACACCTTGGTAATCAGGAGAAGTCTTTTTATGTGGGCAGAACAGGACTGTTGACACGTCTCTTTCCTCTGTAAAAGTCCCCTCATGGGTAGATTTTTAGCCCCTGGTTGAAACCCCTTCTTGGCTTCTCTAAATGTCCATGTGGAAGGGGGCCACAGTTCATAATATTCAACTGTTTCATTGTACAGCCCAAAGAGACCTGAAGATCACACTGAGCCCAAATCTGGGTTTCCTGACTCCTAGAGTTCCCTTTGTTTGCTCAGACAGGCTCTGCTTTCCAGGATGGTGTCTCCAGGCTGAGGCTCAGATCAACTGGTAACTTCACTTCTGTGTGGCCAGAAGAAAGTTAGTGCTCCCCTCAGAAACTGTGATTTCCACTGCTGGAGATGAAGCCTCGGGTGAAGACATCTGTGATGTGTGCTTCCCCATTCCACGCCCCCAACCCTACCCCCACTCACATATTCCTCCAGCAGCTGCTCTGCATATTTGGTCAGGAGGCGTGCAAGGTTGTGTGTCTGGCGGATCTTGGCCTCCAAATGGGGAAGGAATGAGACTGGGGAGTCAGCCTGGGGGTCTTCTGGTGGGAAAGAGGGGGAGTGAGGGGTTATGAGGGCAACCCAAACCACGCCTCCGCAACTTTCCTAAGCTGGCTCTTCCTGAGCCCAGAGGCTCTGCTCTGGATGCTAACAATCAAGCTAGGAAAAATCTGTCCCTGTGGAGGGAAAATCAGGTGCCAAGCAGCTTCTCAACACGAAATGTCTCTCTTGCTCCCAAATCACAGTTGAAACCCTATTAAGACCAAATTCAATACTGCCTCCATACGGGCTGCCTCCAGATTCCCACTCCCCTCAAATCAGCTTCTTGTTCACTTCCAAGGTAGCTTCTTTTATCCACGGGAAGACTCCTTAGAAGGCAGCTATGCTCATCCTAAACCACCAATGCTATCCCGAGACCCTTTAAGAGACAAAATCACTTATTTTTGGATTTCTCCAACCGTTAGTTGCATTCAGTCAGCCTCACGCAAGCACAGAAGTTCACGTTGGAACACGTTTTTCCCGGCCTGTTCTACAGAGAAACCGCAAACCTATTCCCTTCCTCATGATTCTAGGTGAGATTCTAGCATCAAAGTATCAAGGGCAGGCTGGCCTGCCCTGACACAAACCAGAGGGTGGTGCCAAAGGAGGACGACTACATTTCCCAAGACGCACACTGCAAGCATCCCAATGCATGCTGGGGAATGTAGTCCCGACCCGACAACACTTTCCGTCTGAGTTTCCCACCTCCAGCCAAGATCTCAGAAGCCGGTACTGTGTGGCCTCCCTCTTGTCGCTCAAAGCTCTTTCGTGTACCAAAGATTCCTTAACTCGGCCTCTCCCTCCAGTCCTCGGCTTTGATTCTTTCCTAATACCGTGAGAGGCACTGTGATCCTGCCCCAGCCCGACCCCAGCCCTTCTTCAGGGTGTACTCACCCATATATTCGGTGCTCTAACCCCTGAACCCAAGCCCCTGAAGCATCAAGTCCAGGCCTCCTTTTAAACCCTTGCGCCTGCCCTTTGTCCCAACTCAGCCGCTGGTTACCTGACACCGGCGTTTCCTCCCTCCCCCGACCCCCCCCCCCCCAGGTCTTTCCCCTCCCAGACTCCGGGGTGGGATGGTGTTGACAGAGATCCAAACACCAGCTTTCGGCCCCACTCACTCCTGTCCCCATCAGGGACCCAGGATCCAGTCACTCAGCCCCTTACCCAGACTTCCCTCCCTCTGGCTCATGTTGGCCCTTGGCCGATCCCGGTTTCCCTCAACACACCCTTACCGGAGGGGTGGGGGGAGGGGGGAAAGGGGGGAAAGGGTTAGGGGCGTGGCTTGGGCTCAGCCAATCATACAAACTTTTCCTTCCCACCACTACTTTCAGGCTAGATTCCTTGGCCTTGAGCTCAGTAACCCGCTTGTGAGGCTTCTGCTGGGAAGGGGCCAGAGTGGGGAGGCAGGTGTTGGCACAGTGAATGGGCACTTGGGCCTTTAAGGCGGCTCTTGTGTCTTGCTGGGAGGAGGAGACTCAGACTCCGACCTGAGGTAGAGCCTGACAATAAGGGCTGCTTTGAGGGAAAAGCTGGGAAAGCAGAGAGGAGAGCTTCAGGGCTGGCAGGAGAACACAGGCAGGTCCTCCCTCTGGGCCAAGACAGAGAGGCGAGGGCAGGCCTGTCTAGATTAGGGTGCACCCAAGGCACACACCCCCTGACCTGGCTTCTTGTTCTAGATGCCTTCCACTTTCCCTGTCACTCTGATCAGGAGTGAGATGGTCCTTGCCCTCCCTCACCTTTCCACTGCAGACCCCCAACGCCCCTCCATGCGTGTAGTTAGGCGTCTAGACACACACACACACACACACACACACACACACACGCACGCACGCACGCACGCACACGCACGCATGCGCGTGTGCACATGTGTTTAGGCATCTGCTCTCACACAGGTGAGCACAGGCTTCAGACAGGTCACACCCAACCTGAGGGGACACTGGAAGACTGCACATGCTTGTCCTGCAATTGGTTCCCAAGCTCCCCCTCTGTCTTGGGCTCTGGCACAGAGAGGATCGATACTTGGCTTCAGGCTTCAGATAATGGAGTTTGTGAGCAAAAGGACTGAAAAGGCCTGTGTGAGGAAGTTAACACGAGCAAACCATTAGAGCCAAGGGGTTCATTACCAGAGTGCATGACAGCCACCTTTGAAGCCAGACTGTCAGCAGTGGCCACAACCGCACACTGACCAGCAGTAGTTACTGGGTGTTCACTGTGTGCTGGACACCATCCTAAGTGCTATGTGTATACACATGAACTTATTTCCATGTTATAGATAAGGCAATAAAGATAAATGACTGGCCCAAAGTCATGCAGGCGGGTGTGACAGAGCTGAGCTTTTGCCACTTACAGTTTGATTCCAGAAATGCTGTCAGACATGGTGGATGTGATCACACCAGAACTTTGCAGACACCCTTCACACACAAACACAGCAGACATGTCCTATCTACTGATGGTCAGCTTCAAATAAAATAAAATCAATCAAGATGCTTTCAGTTTCTTTCCTTTTTATTTGGGGGGGGGCATATGTGCATCTGAGTGCAGTTGCTAGAGGAAGCCAGAAGAGGGCATTCAATCCCCTGGAGCAGTGCAACAAGGGGTGCTGGAGACCAAACTAGGGTCCTCTGGAAAATCAATAAGGGCTCTTCACCACTGAGCCTTCTCTCTAGCCCCTTCTTCCTTCCTTCTTTCCTCTCTCCATTCCTCCTTTCCTCCCTCCCTTCCTTCCTCCCTCTCTTCCTCCCTCCCTCCTTTCCTTCCCTTTCCTTCCTTCCTTTCTTCAGTTTTTCGAGACAGGGTTTCATGGTGTGTAGCCCTGGCTGTCCTGGAACTCACTCTGTAGTCCAGGCTGGCCTTGAAATCACAGGGATCACCTGTGGTATGCACCACCAATGCCTGGCCAGAGTTACTTTTTTTAAAGGAAAAAAAAAAAAAACCTCTACATCTATTTTGCATATGTATTGATGTTTAAGGTGTGTAGAAATGAGAGAACTATCAGAAGTGGCCTCTCCTCTTTTACCACATGGGGTTCAAGTTATTAAACTCAGGTCAGCAGGCTTGGTGTTAAGTGCCTTATTCACACTGGGTGTTGGTAGTGCATACCTTTAATCCCAGCACTCGGGAGGCAGAGGCAGGTGGATGTCTGTGAGTTTAAGACAAGCCTGGTCTACTGAGCGAGTTCTAGGACAGGCTGAAAAAAAATACAGAGAAACCCTGTCTCGAAAAACAAAACAAAAATAAAAAAGGGCCTTATTTACTGAGCCATCTTGCCAACCTTCATTTTTTTCTTTTTTTGTTTTTTTAAGACAGGGTTCCTCTGTATTGTTTTGGAGGCTGTCCTGGAACTCTCTCTGTAGACCATGCTGGCCTCAAACTCACAGAGAAATCGCCTGCCTCTGCCTCCTGAGTGCTGGGATTAAAGGCGTGCACCACAACCGCCCGGTGCCAGACTTCATTTTAAGAAAACTTTTAGCAAACTATAATATGCAAAAGAAAAATTACACATGCAATAAATGTATATCCAGGCAGACTAAATAACAGGGTGTGTGACAAGCTCCCAGAAACTCCTTCTTCCTCTCAGGCCCAAGGGTGCTCCCAGTCCTTACCCCTCACACCGTAAATGTATTTGTTTTCTGAACTTATATGGTAGAACTACCTAATGCATGCTGTCACATCTGGCTTCTTTTATCCAAGACTCATCCCCACTGTTGGCATAGCAGGACTTTGGTCATTCTGGTTGTTGTGACTGTGTCCATGGTATAAACAGGTTAACTGGTTTTTCATTCCATTCTGTTGAGGAGTTGCTCCCAGGTTGGTGTTATTGTAAAAAGAGATACAAACTTTCCAGTACACATGTCCAGTACACAGAAGCATTTTGTCCTAGTGAGGTTTCTATTGCTGATAAACAGCATGATCAAAAGCAATGTAGGACCGGGCGTTGGTGGCACATGCCTTTAATCCCAGCACTTGGGAGGCAGAGGCAGGCGGATCTCTGTGAGTTCGAGGCCAGCCTGGTCTAACAGAGCGAGTTCCAGGACAGCCTCCAAAGCAATACAGAGAAACCCTGTCATGAAAAACCAAAAACCAAACCAAAACAAACAAACAACAACAACAACAATAACAAAAAACCCCAAAAACCAAAAGCAACGTAGGGAGGCAAGAGTTCATTTCAGCTTAGTTACAGTCCATCATGAAGGGAAGTCAGGGCAGGAACTCAAAGCAGGAACCTGGAAGAAGGAACCCAAGCTCACGCGCGCGGTGGTGTGGGGGAACTTGAAGGAACGCTGCTTACTGATTTGCTCCCCATGGCTTTCTCCGTCTGCTTTCTTACTGTACCCAGGACCCGTTCGCTCAGCGGTGGCATCGCCTACAGTGGTCTAGGCTCTCCCACATCAATTATTAATCAAGAGTATGCCCCACAAACTTAGCTATGGGGCAACGTGATGGAGTCATTTTCTCAATCAGGGTTCCTTCATCCCAGATGACCCTGGCTTACTTATGTCGAGTACACAAAAAACTAGACAGCACCCATTTCTTCGGTTGGGAATTGCTGGGAGACCGGGTCGGCACAAGTTTAGCTTCACTGGAAAACTGTCAGTTTTCCAAAGTATCTCTACAATTGCACTCCCTGATTGAAGGAATGCCGAGTTGTTCTGCCACCTCATTTGTCTTTTTCACTTCCGCCCTTCTGGCTGAGGAGGCCGCTCCCACTCGAAAGTCAGCCACGCACTTGGCACTGTTAATGAGACTTGAATGAATGGATGAACAAGTTAAGTTGGGCAGCGTAGAACCAAACAGCCTGGAGAGGGCAGACGCACGCACACACAGCATTTCAGGGACGCCCACCCGCCGCGGACGCACACCAGGACAGTCCCTCTCGCGCACCCCTGTGCCCACGTGGCCGGAACGCACCGCCTCGCTCGGGCCGCGCGCGTCCAGCCGCACAGCTGCCCCCCAGCTCTCCCTCTCCGCGGCGGGCAGAGGGCGCTGTGCGTCCGTGCGCCCCGAGGGGCGGGCCCGGGCCGGGGCGGGGCTGGCCGGGCTTCCAGGCCGGGGCTCTAGCCGCCCGCACCGCCCGGGCCGCTCCGGGGACGGGCCGGGGCGGGGCGCGGTCGCAGGAAGCCAGGCGGGGACGCGCGGAGGCGTTGGGGAGCGAGGGAGGGCGCGGCTAACTCCCGGAGGGACGGCAGGCCGAAAGAGCGGCGCCGGGGCCTGGCGTGCAGCCTGAGATCGCCGGACCGCAGGCCGTCCCACCACGGGCTCAGTCCCGGCCCCAGCCCCGCCAGCATGGCCGGCCGGACCGTGCGGGCCGAGACCCGGAGCCGGGCCAAAGATGACATCAAGAAGGTGATGGCGACCATCGAGAAGGTCCGGAGATGGTGAGCGCTGCCCCTGGGCCAGGGACACAGCCAAGCCACCTCCTCCAAAAGCGTCCGCCCTTTCCTGGCCAGCTGCCCCCGCCCACCAGCTGAGCTCTGAATCGACTGGGCTCCCCCTTTCCCTGGCAATTCCCAGAGGTCTACAAAGCGTGGTCCGGAGTGGTGCTTTCCCAGAGCGGGAGCCCTCATCTATGCCCCGCCCCCTGACGCTTTGACACTCTTGCAAGCTCGGCCCCGGGTCTTCTTTGCCAGAGTCCCTGGCCAGGCCTTGGTGGCGCCCTGCTGAGTGCTCCAGGTGTCTGCAGAACCGCAGCTCTAAGTTATATCCGTCTATGTCCTGGGCTTTGCAGGGCTCTTTCTGCTTCTATGCCCTGTTAGCAAAGCTTCCCTTACCCTAGCACATCTCCTGGCTATACGGGCCTCAACCTTGGACCTCCCTGACACAGTCTCCTGCCCTCTCACAGGGAGAAGCGCTGGGTGACTGTGGGTGACACTTCCCTTCGAATCTTCAAGTGGGTTCCTGTGGTGGATCCCCAGGAGGAGGTGAGCAAGCCCAACCCCCAACAGACCTTGCATCTGTGCAACCTCAGGCAATTTCCCTCCCTACCTTGGCCTCCACCTTAAGTCGATTGGATTCTCCAGTGTGGAACTCAGGCAGATGGTAACGATTATTAGCACACACACACACACACACACACACTAATGCCCCCTCCCCCCAGTTCAAGACCTAACTCAGCCTACAGAACCTGAGACAGCTGCTCTTGCTTCCCTGAGTCCAGATTTCCTTAGTTATATTGAGATTTGTAAGCACTCAACCTTACCTTACCTTACCTTACCATTCTAACCCTCAGGAGAGGCGTCGGGCAGGAGGCGGGGCAGAGAGATCCCGTGGCCGGGAGAGACGGGGCAGGGGCACCAGTCCCAGAGGGGGTGGCCCCCTCATCCTGTTGGATCTCAATGGTATGTACAGACCCTGGAATGGGGAGGAAAGGAAGCTACTGGGGGCCCTCTAGCCAACCAACTCGGCTTTTGCTTCAGCAGATGAGAACAGCAACCAGAGTTTCCATTCAGAAGGCTCACTGCAGAAAGGCACTGAGCCCAGCCCCGGGGGGACTCCTCAGCCCAGCCGTCCTGGGTCCCCGACTGGACCCCCAGAAGCTATTACAGAGGATACTCAGCCCCCACAGTTGGGCCAAGAGAGAGGTAGGACCAGATGGCTCTCAGGAGCACAATCTTCAAAGTTGAACCCACCATCTCGTCCTTGTACCTACGCCATGTCCTTTCTCCCCATCCTGCCCTGCCTCCCGGCCCCCAACCTTCCCAGACCCTGGCAGAAAGGACATAATCGAGCTGCTGTCTCAGTCCTCTGGCTTCTTAGATTTGTAGGCAGCAGTCACCATCTGAACTTTGTATGCAGATTTGTTTCTTTGCCTGCTTATTGTCGTTTCCTGTTACCATCTCATGCCAGCCATGCCTGTAACATCCTGTTCTGTGGGATACATAATAGATGTCCAGTAAATACTTCGTGGGGAATAAGTAATTCTGATGATCAGAGTGATTAATAGCAGAGTAACAGCTAGCAAAGCCCCTTCCCCGGTAGGTGTTCTGAGCACTTCAACGTTTGTTTTTTGTTTTCTCGTTTAATCTTCACTGTCACTTTATGGGAGGATGATCCTATTACGATTGCTCTTTATACACGAGGAGCCCGTCATCCAGAGAAAGATGTCCAGACTCACAGAGCCAGTGAGTCAACACCTTGGGCCTGAGCCCTCTTCAGCCTCTCTGTCTTCATATAGTCGGTCCCTTGTCTGGTCAGTACTGCTTCCCAAGTTCAGCTGATTTCTGTGCCTCGGGCCCTGCCTCCTCATTTCCCACCTGTATCTGCTCTGGCTTCCCTGCCTGTCCCTGGTGGCCTCCACACAGCTGCAGAACGCTTTTTCCTAAAGCACAAATTCAAAATGATTATCTCCTGCCTCCTCTCCTTCAGTGGCTCCGTATGGCCTTTGGTTCTTCAGTTTGATACGGGGCCTTCACAAACTGTCACCACCGAAATCGTTCCCCCAACAAGAACACCATGACATGAGCGGGCCTCAGGACCATGTCTGGATTGTTCCAGATACCTTTACTAATGTAAAATGATAGGACAGGGGATGCAGCTCAGTGTAGAATGTTTGTCTAACATCCCCATTTCTAATACTGTAAAAATGAAGGAATGAAAATGCTAGCTAACACTTACTGAGCACATACTATGTACTAAGGACTTTACAGGTTTTGCTTCATTTCATCCTCATAGCCGTCTCTTGTGGTATTACTGTCACTATTCCCATTCTGCAGGTGATTTAGTTGAGGCTCAGAGAAATAGTTTGCCTAAGGCCAGGATTCAGCTTTAGTACAACATAGAAACTGTGGTCACTAAGCGCTAGTTTCCCTCTGCCTAAATTCTGCTCTGCCTCTGCTTGTCTCCTGGCTCACTTCCTACCAACAAAATCCAACCTGAATCTTCCTCCCTGGGCATCTTGGTGCCTCTCTGGCTCCCACAGTGTTGTCTTGTGTGATTGGTGCCTGCCCAGTTCTTCTGCCCACCCCTGCCTGTTCTCCCAGCACAGAGTGGCTGCTCAGGCGATGTCTGTTCATTTGACATTCCAGACCCAGGGGGCACACCCGCAGGCGGTACTGATGACCCCCCCGAAGCTGACCAAGGAGGAGCCTGTTCCAGAATTGCTGGAAGCTGAGGTGAGAGAGGCCAGAGGCTGGACTCTGAACTTGTGGGGAATGGGACTGGGGGCTGCATTCTAGGGTCCAGGAGGGAGATGTGAGCCTCAAACTCACCGAAAGGTTTAGTCGAGGTTGGATTCTTGGGTGAAGAGGAGTGTTTTAGAGACATTGTCCTGAGGGCTGGATCACAGCTGCTTTAGGAGCATGGAGAGCCTGAAATGATCTTGGTGCTCGCTCCTCTAAGGATTAGAGAACAAAAGTTTAGACTCAGAGCAGCATGGTGCTGCTCCACGTCCTCAGCCTGCACAAAGAGCTTGGGTCCCCTACATCACACAGACACACATCCTGAGCTGTCAAGTCAGCTAACACATTGCCTTGCCTTTCCCTGCAAGGACTACCTTGATTCACTTTCCAGAAAAATCCAGTTCTTTCCCCCAAACAGCATTGCCATTGTTTTTGGTCCCTTGGTCCTGGGCCAGACTCTGGATCCCCAGGGAAATAGAGTGGAAAAGGCAGAGGCTAGGAGGCTGTACCCCGGGTCAGAGTGGAGCTCACACCTGTCCGCCCTTCCTCTTCAGGCCCCTGAAGCTTACCCTGTCTTTGAGCCAGTGCCACCTGTCCCTGAGGCAGCCCAGGGTGACACAGAGGACTCGGAGGGCGCCCCCCCCCACTCAAGCGCATCTGTGCAAATGCCCCTGACCCCTGAGAAGCTGCCTGCCTCCTGTCCTGTTGCTCCAAGGGCCCCTTTGGCTTTTTATAAATAAAGACCCTTTTGTAATTTTGTGTCATGTCATTTCCCTGTCAAGGCTGGGGAGGGTCTTTGGAGACAGTTTTGGCTCATGCTCTATTCCTCAGACGGGGTCACCAGGGCTCTGAGATGACACCATGTGAATGAGCGTGTAGATGAGCAGTGAGGGCCTGAGCCACGACCCCGCCTCCCACCCTGCCCTTCTTCACCGACTTTTACCCTCCCCGGGCCCGGCAGATACTGCAACTCCCGTTTCACTTACAGAAACACAGGCCCAGAGCGGTAGAGGCTTGCAAGGACCCAGCTCCTTCCCTGCCCTCAGGAGGCTACAGCATGTGTCTCCAGCTGAACCATCCCTTCCGAGTGAAACTCTAGGCCACACTTCTGTGCTGAGTCCTCTTGTCTCTTGTGCGGTTGTCACCTCCTCCTAGATGCCTTCCCGGATTCCAGACTCTATCAGCATCATCTCCTTTGAGCTTCCTTCCATTTGTCTCAGCATTTATCTGGATGTTTGGAGACCATGAGTCTGTATTTCTGTCTTTTAAACTGCAGGCATCTCAAGGACAGAACTAGATTCCCAGCCTGACCCTACTTAACACTGGGAGCACAGTAAGCCTAGCAAATGCTTCATGAATGAATGAGTAAATGAACAGGGCAGGGCATGGTGGCACACGCTTGTAATCCCAGTACCCAGGAGGCTGAGGCAGGAGGATTGTGAGTTCCTCTGTCACTATCTGTGTGGCCCTAGAAAGGTTGTTTCTACTCTCTGACTCTTTGCTCACTGGACTAATGGGGTAATAATTAGGCCTCACCCCCCCTCCCCCACGCCCACCCCAGCCAGTGCCCAGTGAGAAACTTCCCTCAATCTGTACTTCTCAGAGAAGCAGGGTCAGGTGAGGTAGCCCTGTTTTAATTTTTAACAAAAGGAGGGACTGAGGTTTAGGAAGGAATCATTTAAAAATGTCAGTGTCTGCTGTAGTGACGGGGGAGCCAGGGCTGGCTAGGCAGGCCTTTGCCGGGTTATGACTGTGTGTGTTCCTATTGCTGTAGAAACAAATGGACTGGCCTAGTGCTCCACAGACTCACGATGACGTCACCATTCTGAAGGCCACAAGTCTAGAATCTGTCGCTGGGCCAGGCAGGGCATCTGCAGGGCTGGCTCCTGGAGCAAGCTGTCTGGGGGATTCTTCTGGCCTGTCCAGCTTCTACAAGCTGCTTGCGTTCAGGAATGGATTCAAACTGTGGCTTGTCCTCTCTCGATCCCGCCTAATCTCTCTGCCTTTCTGATTTTACCATTGCATCTCTTTAACTGGCCTTCCTGCTGCTTGTGTGCCCCCCCCCCGTTATCAATCATACAGGCCTTCCTAGGAATACAGGGTCATCCCGCCATCTTGGTATTTAGTCCCTCTGAAAATCCCATTGTCAGTAAAGTAACATGCTCACATGCTGGGGTTTAGGATATGCACATCTCTGGAAAGTCAGTAATCAGTATGCCCACATGTGGTAACCTCAGCACTTTCCCAGGTGAGTGAGTCATCTTAGTGACACTATGCAGTAATGTAAATGCTCTGCAAACTGTAAAGCGCCTTGTATGGCTTAGCAGTTCTGGCCTTGAATTCTGGGTTTGAATTTCACCAGATGATTTCACTTTCTTAATTTTATGTGTATGAGTGTTTTGCCTGCAACTATGCCTATCACTATGTGTGTGCAGCGCCTGAGGCGACTGGAAGAGGGTGATAGATCTCCTGAAACTAGAGTTATAGCTTTTAGCTGCCATGTGGGTGCTGGGAATCTTGGGTCCTCTGGAAGAGCAACCAGTGCTCTTAACTGCTGAGCCTTCTCTGTAGCCCCATTTTTAAAAGTTATTATGTATAGAGGTGTGTTTGTGTGTGTGTCTGCATGTGGGTATGTGCACATGAGTGCAGGTGCCCTCGGAAGTCAGAGGTGTTGAATGCCCTGGGCTGAAGTTATAGACGATTATCTCTACCTCCCCTCTAGGAGCCTTCGAGGCCTTGAGTCTGGTTATAGGCCCAGAAGCAACTTGGTGGCTCTGGAGGACAGTGTTCTCTTGCCTGGCATTTCTTTCAGGGGAAGGGTTAACAGACAGTGAAGGATTGATTTTCTCAGGCAAAGGCAGAAAAGGCAGCCTTTCCAGAAGGGAGATGGGGGCAGGACTGCATCTTCGGGTGAGATAAACCCTTGGGTCTCTGACGGTAGGGTCCTCTCCACCTCTCCATTTGGAAGTCACAGGATCCCTGGCTTTACCAACTAATGTCCTTACCTTGACCTCTGACACCTTCCAAGGCTTGGGCTTGCTTGCATGTTTGTTGTAATTCAGCTAATCTTACAATGAGGGCTTTGTTGTGATTTTCTGCAACTTGAGCTCTGTGGCTGTTGGAGAGATTTTCTTCCAGGGCACACTTAGAAACCTTTAGACTGATTACAGGCATCTGGAGCTGGTCAGTTTATCACTGAGTTCATTGTTTTCCTTCACCATATTCTGAGATGCTGGAAGTTGGCCAGTTTCATCGTGAAACTCTTTTTTTTTTTTCCTCCACAAGACAGGGTTTCTCTGTGGCTTTGGAGGCTGTTCTAGAACTCACTCTGTAGACCAGGCTGGTCTTTAACTTACAAAGATCCACCTGCCTCTGCCTCCTGAGTGCTGGGATTAAAGGAGTGCACCACAATGCCCAGCTCAACCTCACAATTTTATTCAGTTGGCTCATCTGAAAGTAATTGGTGCACCGGAAATGAAGGAGGTGGGGGAAAGGAGTCACTGCTCCAAGCACTGGTCACTGCTCCAGGCCATCAAATCCCTAGACTAGGGTAGTAGGCTTTTATGTAAACAAAGGTTTTACTGGGTAGAAAAGAGTAAAACAATTTGCATAAAAGTCTTACATGGAGAGAGAAATTGAAAATATTTTAATTCCTTGTCCTAAACACAAGTTTTATAGTAGTTGATAGAGAAGACTCACATTTGATATTTCTTACACTCAACTGTACACTATATATAGAATCACTTAATTCCTTGCTTTTCACAATTAGGTGAATCAGGATAATCAAATAATTTGTCCCAATAAGTTTGTCAGATAGTTCATAAAAGGGTTTTTACTGCTCTTCATGCTTCTAGGAGAGGCTTCAATAACTCAGCAAATTAGAAAACTTGTTCCAGATACTTTTTTTTTTTTTTTTTTTGGTTTTACAAGACAGGGTTTCTCTGTATTGTTTTGGAGGCTGTCGGTCCAGCCCGGCCTCGAACTCACAGAAATCCGCCTGCCTCTGCCTCCCGAGTGCTGGGATTAAAGGTGTGCACCACCACCACCCGGCTGTTCCAGATACTTAAAGAAAAATTCATCCTTATACTTCTGTTGCTCTAGAAGCAACTGCTCCTGGTACCACAATCTGTATTGGTCGGGGTTCTCTAGAGGAACAGAACTTATTATAGATGGACAAGTATATGTAAAGGGAGTTTATTACAATACAATGGCTTCCAGGGTGTGGTCTGGCTAGTCCAACAATGGCTGTCTCTTGACCGAAAAGTCCAAGAGTCCAATGGTTGGCAACCTATGATGCTGGATGTCTCAGCTGGTCTCCAGTACACATTGGAATCCCAAAGAAGGTTCTGATACCAGTGAAGGAATGAACTTGCCAGGTAGAGTGAGGGCAAGAAGCAAAACTTCCTTCTTCTGTTAGACTGCCACCAGAAGGTTTGACCTTGATTTACCGTAGGTCTTCCCGCTTCAAATCCAGGGAAGAAAACCTGTCTCGTGTCCCTGCTTGGGTTTTGTTAGCTCCAATTGTAGTCACTTTAACAGAAACAGCCCCACAGTAGTCTAGCGTGTGGACCTCAAGTCTCCATCTTCCCAGTCTTGGGTCACAGGCACTCGGAGGGTTGAACCTGGGGGTGTGTGGGTGCTAACCCAGCTCTCCACCACTGAGCACGTCCTCACCCTTGCCCTACTTTCAAGGAAAGTGCTGCCGCAGCTTCCTGACCGTTTCTTGCTTCACTCTGGTCCCCTGGTGCCCGGGCTCCTCTGCTGTGCAGTGGGCAGCCCTTCACAAGCCTACAGCTAGCCATGGCGCCGCCCGCCAAGCCTTCTTGTCTGGCTCCTTCCATGCAGGATGTGGCCTCTACTGCTGCGCACCATCAGCTGCTTCCCCAGATGCCCTGAGTGATGGTCTCCCCTCTAAAACTTCACTTCCTGTGTCCCCTATGTCACAACCCCCTCCTCCCCGTCACCTGTCAGGTTCCTCTTGTCTCTCAAACTTCGGCTTCACAGTAGTGGTGTCATCTTGCCTCTTTGACCTTCCATAGTGGAACTTTCCCTAGCTCTGAGGGCCTAGCATAGGTATGGTCAGCCTGAGACTCAGCAACTCCATGAGTGCAGATGAATTCCCTGGATTAGTGACGAGGAGTTATGGTGTGCTCACTGTTTGCTGGGCACTCTTCTGGGCTCTGGGGATATAACTCTAACAAACACTGCCTTCAGGAAGCTTGTCCAGGGGATAATGGGGCCCCTTATCAGGAAGCCAGAAAGACACTCATAGTCCCACAAGGAAGAGATGCTTGGACAAATGCATGTTGGGCATTTTCATTGTTGTGTGACATTGTAGAGTGCGTGAACACAAAGTGAGAAAACTCTAATGTCCCCAGGTGATATAGTCTTATTTGAGATGGTCTTATATGCTGCTTGTTGCCCACGGGAGCATCTTTGTGTGGCTTGTAAGGGCACTTTGGGAAAATTCTGCAGAGATGGGAGAAAGAACCAGTTGCAGTTTTAATTAGAGAGGTCAGAAGAGGCGCTGGGGCGATGTTGAAGAAAACCTTGGAAGACAGGAGGCTATAAGCATGTGAGAGTCTGTGCAGAGGGAGTGGCCAGTGTGAAAGCCCTGACTAGGGCGTGCCTGGCAACAAGGCCGGGTTGCTGGAGCTGAAGGGAGGAGAGGACATGACTTGTGAGTTCATGTGGGGACAGCCTCACGGCAGGGCAAGTACACAATCTAGCGCTCAGATGACATGTATGTGTTGA